GGGTTTTGAGGCCCAGCAGTGTGCTCCCCTCTCACCACCACTTCCAAATGTTGTAGGAGTGACTCCTTTGTGGGCTACATGTGTCCTTCTGTTGTAGCAGAGTTGCTCTTGCTGCAGGTGCCCAGGGATGCTAAGCTGTCTCCCTGTCTGGCTGGTTGTGATACTCAACTCTGTCTGAATGCTATGGACCCTTCATTCACATTATTGGCCCTGGGGAGCCCCAGCACAGTTGGCTGCAAGGTCTAATAGCACATTCTTGTTGCAGTTTTTCTACTAAGTGAGAAGGCCTCCAGTGTGGCTGGTTGCTAGGCTCAGGGGCTTACAATTGCTGTAGGCCTCTGGCCTGCAAGGGTGTTGTCAACTCTCTCAGGATTGCAACTGACTGGGGCTGGCCCCAGGCATGGGAGCAACCATTTTTTTCAGGCTTTGGAAGGTGGCCTCACCACCATGTGGTTGTTTGTGATGCACAAGTCTTCTGCAGTTGACATACCCCACAACCTGCAGGACCACACACCCCATCAACACAGTCCTGTACCTTGGGTGCACCCTGACCCACTGAAGTGGACCCTGTCACCTCACTACAGAGGCCCCATATAATCTGCCCACTAGTTACCAATCCCCTTCCCCACAGTGGCAGACCACTTGCCTGGCTGCAGAGAATCCAGGCACCCAGCCTATGCAGGCCCAAGGACTTGCTGTTGGGTGGGGGTCGTCTATAGGGTAGGCTGCCTACCTTGGCTGAGCTGGATTAATCAGTGCTCAGTGGGTGGGGCAGACCCTGGGCTAACAGGTCAGGGGAAGAACTCCAATGGCGTCTGCCAGCATCTGTGTCAATAGGCCTGGACTAGGTCACAAAATGGCTGCTGTCAATGTCTCAGTCCGTGGTGACATCTCACCTCTCTCTGAGATGCTCCCACAGCCTATCAGGTCGGTCTTTTTTTCACCAAGGGGCTGTGCACCTTTCTTTCTGGGGATTTTAGATTGCTTTCCAACATGGGTGAATTTGTTCATGTGCCCTTTAAGAACTGGCTTTTCCCCCTTATGTCCCATAGATTTCCTGGGGGTATTCCCTGTTGTTGCTAGTAGCCAGCAAAGCCAGATATTATCAGACTCATATCAGTTGTGCTGAGTCCAAAGGATGCTTATAGGGGTAACTCTCCCCTGCTCAGTTCCCCCACTCTTCCAGGGAAGGCTGTGAACCTTAGGATCATTCCTGGCTGGCCATAAAGCACCACGGCTTGCCAATGTGGCTTTTTTTAATCTCCAGAAAGGAATGTTTGCCTCTTTTGCCTCAGTCAGGACTGTCCCTTGTGGTGGGAGTTATTTTTACCCAGTTTCACTTCTCTCTAATGCGTAGTTGTTCTGAGAGTAGTTGTAAATTGATTGTGTCCATGGGAGGAGGTGAGATCAGAGTCTGCCTATGCCACCATCTTGACACCTCTCCCCATCTTAGCAAAATTAAATCACTAATTCATGAACATGGGATGTCTTTCCATTTATTTAGGTGCTCTTTAATTTCTTTCGACAGTTTTGCAGTTTTCAGTACACTAGTCTTGTACTTCTTTTGTTAAATTTATTGCTAAGTGTTTTTTTCTTTTTGATTCTATTGTAATGAAATTGTTTTCTTTCTTTATTTTTGGATGTTTTGTTGTTGGTGTATACAAACATAACTAATTTTTGCATATTTATCTTCTTTCCTGAAACCTTACTGAACTTGTTTATTAGGTCTAATAGTTTCTGCTGGATTTCTTTGGAGGTTCTATGTATAAAATCATGTCATTTTCAAATAGAGATAGTTTTAAATTTTCCTTTCTAATATGAGCACATTTTACTCTTTTTCTAGCCTAATTGTTCTGGCCAGAAACTATCATAACATTGAATACAAGTGATGAGATCAGGCTCTCTTTTCTTTTTTCTTATGGGGAAAGAGTTCAGTTTTTCACCCTTAAATAAGATGTTAGCTGTGGATTTTTCATAAACATCTATCAATTTGAGAAAGTTCTCCTCAATTCTTACCTTTTGAGTGTTTTTTTTTTTTTATGAGAGAGTGTTGAATCTTGTCAAATACTCTTTTTTCCTCTACATAGATGATCATGTGTTTTTTTCCCTGTAGTCTACTAACATCTCATATTACATTGCTTAAATTTCTTATGTTGAACCAATCTTGCATGTCTGGGATGAATCCCACATGGTCAGGTTGTAGAATCCTTTTTTATATAATGATGGTTTTAGTTTGCTCGTAATTTGTGGAGGATTTTTGCATGTACTGTCATGAGGATATTAGTCTGTAGTTTTCTTGTTTTGCCATTGTCTTTTTTTGCTATAAGGGTAGTTCTGGCTTCATAGATGAGGTGGTAAGAGCCTAAGCACCATTTCCTATTATATTTTTGGAAGCATTTGTAAAGTATTGACAGTAGTTCTCCTTCAAATGTCTGGTACAATTCAAGATGGAGCCATCCTGGCTTTACTTTGAGGGAGTATTTTGATTACTGATTCATTCTCTTTACTTATCATAGGCTTATCTAGAATTTCAATTTATTCTTGTCAGTTTTGATAGTTGTGTCTTTCTAGAAATTTGTCCATAATAATATATGTAATTTTTTTGATACAATTGTTCCCAGTACTTCCTCATAACATTTTTTATTTGTGTGGATTAAGTTAATTTCCTAATTGCTGCATTCCCAACTAGGTTAATACCAATTTAATTCAAGTAGTGTTACAAAACTTTGATCCTATAGAGCTATGTTCCATCCTGCTTTGTGCTGTTATTCTTATAGAAATTCCATCTTTTACATTGTTTGCCCATTAACACAGATTTATAATTTTTGCATTATGCAAGTTTCTTTTAAGTTAGAAGAAAAAACTCTTACAAAGAACAACAGCAACAAAAACCAATTCATATTTTCTTCTTTGTTAATCTATTTAATTACTTTCACTGGTGCTATTTATTTGTTCATATGCATTCTATTTACTGACTAGTGTCCTTTCATTTCAGCCTTAATGGCTCCCTTTAGTATTTGTTATAGGGCAGGTCTGCTAGTGACAAAATCTCAGTTTTCATTCATTTGGGTATGTCTTGATTTCTCCTTCATTTTTTTTTTAAAGCCCCAGCACATAGTTGTATATCCTAGTTGTAGGTCATTCTAGTTCCTCCATATGGGATGTTGCCACAACATGGCGTGATGAGTGGCATGTAGGTCGATGCCTAGGATCCGAACTGGCAAACCCTGTGCTGCTGAAGCAGAGCACGTGAACTTAATCACTTGGCCACATGGCTGGCCCCTTCTCCTTCATTTTTGTTGGATAGTAAATTCAAGTTTGATAGTTTTTTCTCTCAAAAACTTCAAATATGTCACCCCAGTGCCTTGTGGCCTCCATGGTGTCTGAAATCAGCTGTTCATCTCATTGGGAATGCCTTGTACGTGATGAGTAACTGCTCCTATTTCTGCTTTCAAGATCTGTTTTTCTTTGTCTTTTTAAAAATAGAGAATAATTCCCCTGATAACATTATATTAGTTACAGGTGTACAACATAATGACACATATTTTATATATTGCAAAATGATTGCCACAAGAAATCTAGTTAATATCCATCACCACACACAGTTACAATTTTTTTGTGTGTGTGATGAGAACTCCTTTAGCTTTTGAATGCCTGGACAACTTTTTATTTCTCCTTCAATTCTGAATGAGAACTTTGCTGGGAGGAGTATTTTTGGGTGGGAGTTTTTTCATTTAGCACATTGAATATATCATGCCACTCCCTTCTGGCCAGCAAAGTTTCTGCTGAAAAATCTGCTGATAGTCTTATAGGAGTTCTGTTCTCTTGTTGCTTTTAAGATTCTTTCTTGTGCTTAACGTTTGACACTTTAATTATGATGTGTCTTGGTGTGAGTCTCTTTGGGTTCCTCTTTTTGGGCACTCTCTGGGCTTCCTGGATCTGGATGTCTGTTTTCTTCCCAGGTAAGTGATGTTTTCAGCTATTATTTCTTCAAATAAGTTTTCTGCCCCCTTCTGTCTCTCTTCTCCTTTTGTGATCTCTATATCATGAACGTTGGTCAACTTGAAGTTGTCTCATAAGCCCCTTAGGCTATCTTCACTCTTTGCTCCTTGTTCTTATTGCTGCTCTGACTGGGTGAGTTTCATTGCCCTGTTTTCAAGTTCACTGCTCCCTTCCTCTGCTTCACCTAGTGTGTTATAGAACCCTTTTATTGTTTTTTTCTGTTCAGTTACTGTGTTCTTCATCTGCATGACTTGTAATTGGTGCTTTCTGATATTTTCTATCTCTTTGTTGAAATTCTCACTTTGTTGCTCTATTCTTCCCCGAGCTCAGTGAACATCTTTATGACCATCATTTTGAACTTTTTATTAGTTAAATTACTCATCTCCATTTCATTAAGGTCTTTTTATGAAATTTCATCTTGTTCTTCCATTTAGAACATGTTCCTTTGTTTCTTCATTTTCCTTGATTCTCTGTGTTGTTGTCTATGCATAAGATAAAATAGCCACCACTCCCAATCTTAAAGGAGTGGCCTTGAGTAAGAGATGAACTTTATCATTCGACCCTGTCCTAGTTCCTGGTTGTCTCTCAAACTTCTGTGATTGTTCAAGGAGCCTACTGTATTTTTAGTGGATCCCAGTAACTGAGCATGTGCCAAGTCCTGTCCATCAGTCAGCATCCAGTTTCAGGCTTATTGGAAGCCCAACTCTGAGGCAATAATAGCTTTTGAAGTGTGCAAATATGCCTCTTTCAGGAGAAGACTAGGAGATGGGCATTTCTGTCTGTTCCCTCTGCATTGAGCCCTGGGGTGATAGCCAGTTAAGAACTATTTCTTTGCTACCTTTGAACCTGTAAACACAAGCCCTGCTGGTCACCAGAGCCAGGATTTCAATGAATGCATCCTCTGGGCAATAGACACAGAAACCAGGATACCAGATGTGTACACAAGCTTCTATCTTTGAGACACTTACACCCTGGGTGGGGCAGAGGGGAGCATGAAGATGGCGCTCACCATCCTCCCTGGTATCTGGAGACTATTGTAGTCAGACCCAAGTGTGTATTTAATTAAAAAACTGCCCCACAGGCCACAGCTATGAAGATAAACTAACAGGCCTTTTTCACAAGACACTGGGGGTGCTTTTCAACGTGCTGCTGTCTCTGTTCTGTGCCACTGGGTCCATAGCAGGTTAAGAACTGTTTTCCCATTTTCAGTGGTCCTGTGGGACCCATCACCACAAGGTCCACAATCCACCAGAGCCAGGTAATCAAGAGGCATCCCCTGGGTGGCAGCTGCAAAAATCAGGGTGCCAGACCATATGCACAAGCTCCCCCCAGGAGATACTGGAGACCTGGAGTGTTTACAGAGGGAGAGTGCAAAGATGGCACCACCCAGCCTCCATCCCTGGAGAGCATCTTAGAAAGCCTCTAGATGTGTGCCAAACCTGAAGCCGGCCCCTCTGGGTGAAACTCCAAGTATAGCAAACAGGTGTCTTTCACAGAAAGACTGTGGTGTCTTGCAGTCCGCTATCTCCGTGCTGTGCCCCGGAGTTGGTAGTAGGCCAAGAACTCTCTCTCTCTTTTTACAGTCCTATTAGACCCATGAACACAAGCCCCACTTGCTACAAGACCCAAGTGATCAGGGGGTGTACCCTGGGCAGTGACCACAAAAACTAGGGCACGAGATGTAAAAACTGGGAACAGATGCATGTACAAGATCCCTTCCAGGAGATATCCGAGCCTCTGGACCATGGTAGAAGGGATTGCAAAGATAACACCTGCCCTCCAAGCTCTCTGCAGAAGATTACACTTGGAACTTAGATGTGTGTTGAATTAGAAGCCTTCTCCTCAGACTGCAGCTATGAAGATAAGCTAATAGGCTTCTTTCACAGAAAGACTGCAGGCCTCAGTCTATAGCCTCTCTACTGTGCCCTGATGGTGGTAGCTGGTTAAGAACTCTTTCTACATTTGTTATAGTCTTGTGGGACCCACAGAGTAAGTCTCACTGACCATCAGAGTCAGGTGATCTAGAGGTCTCCCCTGGGTGGCAGCTGCAAAAATTAGGGTGCCAGATGAGTGTACAACGCCTTTTTTGGAAGATACTGGCAACCTTGAGTGAGGCAGAGGGAAAGCACAAAAATGGTGCCTGCTGGCCTCTGTCTTTCAAGAGTGTTTCAGTAGCCCCTACATGCATATTAAATTAGATGACTTCCCCTTGGGCCAATGCTTTACGATCAGCAAATAAGCCTCTTTCATAGAAAGTCTGTGCACTTTTCAGTTGGCTGCCTCTGTACTGGGCCCTGAGGGGTGTGTGTCCTCATGCACAAGCCTTTTAAGAACTGTTTCTCAGTTCGCTATTGCCTGTGGGTCTCATAGATGCAAGCCCTGTTGGCTTTCATAGTGAGGCATTTGGGGGCTTGTCTGTCAGGTGCAGGTCTTAAATGTTGGGGTGTCAAATGTGGGGTTCAAACCCTTCCTTCCTTAGGGAGGAGGTCGGGGTTGTGAGTTCCCTTCTGATTGAGAATTGCCACATCAGTGGTGGGGTCTATGGTGAGATTGTGACTCAGCCTCTCCTACTCACTTCTATGTGGATTTTTTTCTCCTTCACCCAACGTGAAGGAGCTGTTCAGCTAGGTTTTGATTCTTTTTCAGAGGAAATTATTTTGCGTGTAGATGCAGATTTGGTGTGCCCCTGGGAGGATATGACTTCAGGATCCTCTTACAGCACTATCTTGAACCAGACCTCCCTTTATCTTTTGGTAATCTGATTCTGATATATGGATCTCTGCAATGTGGATCTCTTTGAGTTTAACCTACTTGGAGCTCACTGAGCATCTTGATTGTAGTTTAGAGTGTTTTAAAAAAAAATACAATTTGAGAAATTTACTGCTAACATTTTTTTATATTCTTTCTGCTCTTTTCTGTTTCTCCTCTATTTCTAGGAATCCATTAGATATTTAGTGTTATGCTTGATGATGTCCAGTAGGTCTCTGAATGTCTTTTTATTGTTCTTTATTATTTTTTGTTTTTATTCCTCAGACTGAATAATCTAAACTTACATATCTTCAAGTTCAGTGATTATTTTTCTGTCTGCTCATAGCTGCTGATGAGCTCTTCCAGTGAATTTTTCACTTCAGTTGTTGTATTCTTCAACTCCAGAATTTCTGCTTGGTTCCTTGTTACAGCTTCTATATCTTTATTGATATTGTCTATTTGAAACATGGATCTTATACTTTTCTTTAGTTCTTCATACATGATTTCCTTTAGTTCTTTGAACATATTGAAAATAGCTGATTTAAATTCTTTGTCAAGTAAGTGCAATGATTATGCTCCTACAGGGATATTGATTTTCCCCCCTTGTGAATATATTCTATATTCCTGTTTCTTTGCATATCTTATAAATTTTTTTTGGTCTGAAACTGGTCATTTAAAATAGTATAATGTGGCTACTCTGAAAATCAGATTCTTTCCCTTTCCAGTTCTTGTTGTTGTTGCTGTATGTTGTAGCTTTTCTTGTTTGTTTAGTTCTATTTCTGAACTAATGATGCTCATTTGCATTCTTTGTTGTGTTTGTCTACTAAGGTTTCTGCTCATTTAAACTAGTAGACTGCGAATATTGTGCAGAGATTTCCTTAAATGCCTCAGCCTAGTGAGTCTCTCAGTCTTTGCTGAGGGAAATTCTCTGGGTGTGTAAGTCTTGTCTTCCATACTCATCCAGGCAGTGTTGTTAGACTTCAATTTCTGCTTGCACAGAGCCCCAATCTTAGCCATAGGTAAGGATGAAGGCCTTCTCAGGCCTTTTCTGACATGCCCACATCCATATGCACATGCTTAGACTTAAATTCTAGGCATATGTCAAAGCTTTTCAAAGCCTCTATGGCTAGCTCATTCCCCAGGTTTTCCTTACAAGGTTTTAATTAGCCTATTTGTGTCAATTGTTATCCACTATCTCAGGAAGCCCTGAAGTTAAACAATTGCCTGTAATTGCTTTTGTCAAATTCTGCTGGGTAAAGGGCTGTTCATAGTGGGAGAGCTCCAAGTTTAAGTCAAATACAGACTCTGTTTAAAGTATGGTCTTCATGAGTACCACTAGACATGTCAAATCCTAACAATTTACTGGGAATGAGGCTTTGAAAGGGCTGTCTCTCGTGGCTGCAAGGCTGCTGGGGTTCACCAAGAATATGGACATTTATTTTTCAAGTGTACAGCACTGCCAGAGAGTAGAGAAGTGACTAGGAAAAGTTAAAACACAAGATGGCTCCCTGTTCTTATTGGGGTTAAGCCATTTTTCTTGAATAAATGCTCCTCAGGTTACTGCAAGCCATTAGTTAATTTCCAGTATTCTGAAAAAGTTTTCTAAAAGGTAGGCCAGTTTTCTCACTGCTTTTATGGAGAAGAGAATTTTTGGAGATCCTTACTCTGGTATTCTCACCCTTCACATTTTAACATTCATTGCAAATTTATTAGTTATTTTCTAATTGTGGCTAAAGTTATTCAGCATTTATACACTTTTCCCTGAATGACCCATTGAAGCTAAACATTATCCTGTTATGAGTTTTTGAAGTTTTAGTTCTGTTCATTTTTAATAAAAATACTAATTGTAATTTTTTAAAATCAGAAAATAAGTAGTTGAATTATAGAGGAGGAAAGAAGGAAGAAAAAACACATAGTGATGACTGGTCCGCACTTGCTGCTGTCTCCTTCTGTCTCCAGTCCAGCTCTGGGGCTGCCCTGCTGCTGTGTTACAAAACATTCATGGCTCGGCAGGTGGCTCTTCTCTTTCACCCAGACATGGTGGTCAGAGTAAAGACCATAATTCAGATCCTGTCCTCCAAACTCTCCTTTACCTAAACACCCAGCCCTCCTCCTGGGGATGCAGGTTCCCCTCACATCATAAAGTGGCCAATCTCTCTCTTGCCAGGGTCTTTCACAGCTGTGACTTGAATTTCTCAGAATCGACACCCTCCTTTTCCTCTAGAGCACGTCCGTGGCTGGGATGATATTGTCAGGTTGTGAACACATTGCCATCTACTTAAAATATGAGCTTGGATAAGTTATTTGATCTCTTTGGACTTTCAGGATGCTCCTTCATTAGTGAATGAATGCTTAGATAATATGGTGCTTTGAGGATTTAATTAAATATATATTGTGGATTAGTTGAAAAAACACGTGGAAAGCCACTGGCATAGAGTAGATATTCAATAAATGTATTCTTCACCTGACCATCTCTCAGCTGGGGTGTCCTGCCCTTTGTAATTCCAATAAAATAGACGTTACCATCCACCAACACCCGTGGAGGTCCAGAGAATTACCTACAGTTTCTGTGACTTCCTAGGAACTTATTCTCCTGGTCACCTCTCAGATCTCTTGTTCTTCCTGTGTGCTGTGCTCACTGAACTCTACATTTTTCTCCTACCTGGCCCTTCCTGAAACACACATTATGCTGCTGTAGATCCAGGTGTGCCCTCATCTAATTCCTCAAACATTCCTGGCATCAGGTAGTTATGTGTAGCACACTCTTACCAAAGGTTCTGCAGCTGGCATGTGAGCTTGTTTGTGTGTTAGACCTTGGCACAGGATGGCTGGGATGTAGAAATGAGGTTTAAGCAATTGGTTTGCATAACTCAACAATTCTCACATGAAGAGTGCTGTCACAAGAGGCATGGGGACATAGAAGAAGGGGACCTATGAGACTTACTCCCCATCAACCAGAGAGTGACTAGTGGAGGAGCTGTCTGGATTTTGACTCCATACAAGAAGTTCCAGACCATAGGACTCATGGACTGCCTTTTGAAGTGATGTCCTCATTACCAGGTGGGGTTGGGGGAATCAAGCCAGTGTTGAATGTTCTCTTGTCTGGGATGTTGCAGAGCAGTTTAGGGGATGAACAGACTGGAATTAAGTGACCTGCTTGAGTCCACACAGTAGGATTGGACAGCTGTGATGTTGGGGATTTTTTTCATGAGTTTGTTGTTAAGAGTGCAGACCCTGACCCTTGATTTACTGTGTGACATTTCACAAGTTGTACAACCCCTTAGGGCTTGGGTTTCACATCCAAATATGGGTTACTATGCAGTGCCCTGACCACCTTGAGTGCACGGTCATGGGGCCAGTGCTGCAGCTCCAGCCTTGGGGTGTTCTACGTGGGCAGCGGAGGGGGAAGCCTCAGAGGGGAGAAGAAGGAGGCACTTCCCAGGAGTTAGGAAGATGGCGCTGGTCCCCTAAGGTAGGGGAGGCAAGAGTTCTTGGATGTTGCAAGTCTCCAGTCTGGGGGAAGAGTCTGGGGCCTGCCCTCGGTAGGGGCAGTGAGTCTGAGGCAGCAGAGGCTGTGGCCAGGAGGATGTGCAGGTCTGTGTCCCTGCTGCTCTGTGATGGCAGGAGCAGGGCTGGCAGAAGCTTAGAGGAAAAGCCTGTTGTGATGCAGCTAAGAGCCTGTCAGTTTCTGTAGAGGTTAGTCTACGCCCTGTGTGGGGAGCATCACTAGCACTAGTGGCCGCTGAGAAAGCCATGTAGGCGCAAGCAATAGGCAAACGCCAATATGTGCATTGGGGTGTGGGGATTTGACACTTCACACAAAGAGCTTGCTTTTTTGCTCAGAGCTTCTTACTTAGGTGGCTGACAGTTGAAATTTGTGGAAAATCCAAATGGAAATTTGACTCATTAAGGTGAGGCTTAGCCCAGCCTGGCTGTAACAGAGTGACCTCTGAGCTGACCACACTGGCACTGGTGGCCAGGGCTGCCTGGAGTAGGCTGTTGACCGGAGAAGCAGGTGAGGGTTTTGAGTGGGTGTAGGGCTGGAAAGTGTGAGAACACTGCAGGGAGGGGTCTCTCCAACACTGGGCCAGGAGGATCATAGAGTGAGGCTGTTTATAACTGGTTCTGCAATTATGATTGACGTCTTACTGTAGATACCAGGGATGATATGAAAGATCTGAATGGCTTAGTCTGACTATTGGGCTGCGATCCCAGAACTAATATTTAGCTCCGCCCTTGGGGTGGGGAAGAGCTTAAAGGGCTTGTCTGAGTGAAGCTTTTCCTCTGCTTTTGTCTCTGCCTTCTAGATGTCTCCTCTGCAGCGGAACAGGCTGGCAGGCAGCCTGCCATGGGGCCCTGCTCAGAAGACACCCCCCTCTGCTGGGCTTCCTGGCTCCTGGTCTTCAGCAGCCTCCTCCTCAGTGAGTGGTCCGGGCTCCTGGGAGGGAGGGCAGCGGGGTGGAAGCAGGGGGGCAGGGTCTCCCCTTCCCTGTCTGCTGTCTTTTGGTGAACAAAAGACCAAACAACTCTTATAATTTAAGCAAATGCACTGTCCATGGATGAACAGAAAGAACAAATGGCTTTTTGGTTGCGTGGAGGCTGGGAACCCTGAGGTCCCAGCAGTGCTGCCTTAAGGGGACCATTAACAGAGAGGCAAGGCCACTTCTGCTGCAATAACAGTGAAGCTGGGAGAGCCTGGAGCTCCCCACGGATGAGGGATGGAGACAGACCAAGAAGCTACTCCTGGAGACAGAGTGGGTAGGAACCAGGCACCCCTGGCCTGAATCTCAGAGGGGACCTGCCAGCTTCAGCAGCTGTCCTGTTGAAGAGAGGGCTGACCTGGTACCACCATGTCTGAGCTGGAGGAATCAATTGTAGTCTGGGCTTCTTGGGCTTCTCCTCTTCAAAAGGAGAGTGAATGAGCACTGCCTGCCTGGTTTGGGGAAGGGAGAGCAACCTTTGTTATTGTATTCGTTATCCATTGCTGTGTAACCTGTTACTCGAAAACTTGTGCCTTAAAACAATACCTTGTACAGTCTCACAGCTTCTGTGGATCAGGATCCAGGGGTGGTTAAGCTGGTCCTGGGGCTCAGAGTCTCTGAGACTGAAATCAAGGCCTTGGCGGGGGCTGCAGTCAGCTCAAGGCTCAGCTGGGAACAATCTGCTTCCAAGCTCACTCGTGTGATTGCTGATAGGATGCAGTTCCTGTGGCTGTTAGACTGAGGGCCTCAGTTCCTCCCTGGCTGTTGGCTGGAGTCTGCCCTCAGTTTCTCACCACGTGGGCCTCTCCACAGGGCAGCTGACAACATGGCAGCTGGCTTCATCAGATTCAGGGAGAGAGAGAGAGGGCGAGCAAGATGGGTCACAGTCTTGTATAATCTCACATTGCTAGGTGACATCCTATCACCTTTGCTGTATCCTGTTCCTTAGAAGTAAGTCACCAGGTCAGACCACACTCCAGGGCAGGTGGATACCAAGGGTGTAAACCTGAGGAGGGAGGGGTCTTTGGACTCACTTTGGAAGCTGCTTCACACAGATACACACTTAGTATGTGTCAGAAAATTTGCTGGGGTTTTTATCCCTGAGCTCATTTAATTCACACTATCATTTTGAGGCAGGTACGGAACCTGCAGGTTAGTGAGTTTATGTAACCTGTTCAAGGTTACACTCCACTAGAATCAGGACTTGATTCCAGAATTGCTTCAAATTCATTGTACTAGGCTGCCTTCCAAGAATCAAGGGAGTGTGTTGGATGAATTTTATTAAAAAGATGGGTCCAAGTTTCTGCCTGCTGGTGTAGTGCTTAAGTTTGCACACTCCTCTTTGGCATCCAAGGGTTCACAGGTTCAGAGCCTTGGTGAACACCTACACACTGCTCATCAAGCCATGCTGTGGCAGCATGTCACATACAAAATAGAGCAAGATTGGCACAGATGTTAGTTCAGGGCCAATCTTCTTTACCAAACACACAAAAAAGATGGGTTCTGTGATTCTCTCTATGAATCTTGATTGAAGAACACTCACGTTCCTGTTTCCAATGCCCTAGGTGTCTGCAGCACTGGGATCAAGAGTTCTGGAGCACATGGTGCTAGAGTTCAGGATTCCGCGTCCTACGTTTCTCTGAAGGGGATCCGAGGAGGTTCTGTGTGGTTTCATGTGTTCAAGCAACCAGGAACTGAGCTGCAGGAGATTGCTTGGGCCTTTGGCCCCGCCATTAAATACACAGTCATGCTGCAAGTCCATAAAGGGTCAGAAGGGACTCCAACCTGGGTCAGCCTCCAGGACAAGTACATGCAGAGGGTCCACGTGCCCAACATGACATCCCTGAGGATTGAGAACTTGACCCGTGAGGACAGTGGGCAGTACCGGGCTAGAGCCAACTTTCCTGGGGGAATGGAATCTAACAAGATTTTCGACCTCACTGTCTATGGTACGTGACACCCCCTCACCTCAATCCCATGGCTACAGCCTTCTTTTGTGCCTAGGACTGTCGCATGGGCACCATTTTGCAGGACTCCTTCCTGATGGCAGCTTTCAGGCTCTATTTTCTCCACTGAAATTAGGGTAAGTGGGTTCAGCACAAATGGAGAGCAGAGCTGAGATTCACGCCAGGGAAAGAATCACTTCAGTGTTTTGGGAGACGAAAATAGAATTATGGGGGAAATGGAATTTTTGCTGTAACACTGATTGTTCTTTAGAGGATTCAGTTGACTTAATTTATGTATTAGTTTTCTATTCCTGCTACAACAAATTATAGTGGCCCCCCCTTATCTGTGGAGGATACATTCCAAGACCTCCAGTGGATGCTTGAAACCGTGGATAGTACCGAACCGTATATATAGTATGTTTTTCCTATACACACATACTTATGATAAAGCTTCATTTATAAATTAGGCACAGTAAGAGATGAACAGTAACTAATAATAAAATAGAACGATGATAACACTATAGTGTAATAAAAGTTACCATAGATCTTCACAACTTCAGCGTACGAATTTTTCTTTCCTTATTAAGTCAAGAACATTCATGTTTTCACTTAAAAGAATCACTTTATGGCTTCTCTTTGGCATATCCGAACGTCACTACTCTTGATCTTTGGGATCATTATTAAGTAAAATGACGTTTACTTGAACACAAGCACTGAGACACCATCACAGTAGATCTGATAACCTAACTGGCTACTAAGTGACTCACGGATGGGTAGTGTATACAGTGTGGACATGCTGGAGAAAGGGATGATTCATGTCCCAGGCAGGATGGAGCGGGATGCCGTGAGATTTCAACACGTTACTCAGAACACTTCGCAATTTAAAACATGACTTATTGATTTCTGGAATTTCTCATTTAATGTTTTTGGTGTGTGGTTGACCGTGGCTAACGGAAACCTGGGAAATTGAAACCATGGTTGAGGAGGGACGGCTGTACTACAAACGTAGCGGGCTAAATCCACACAACTGTGTTCCCTTACTCTGCTGTGTGTAGGTCAGGAGTCAGACACGGGTCTCACTGGGCTAAAGTGAAGGAGTTGGCAGGGCTGTGTTCCTTTCTGCAGGAGCCACAGGAAAAAACATTTTCTTATCTTTTCCACCTCCTGGTGGCTGCCTGCATTCCTAGCTCTTGGCCACATTCCTCTGTCTTCAAAGGCAGAAATGGCGGGACGAGTCCTCCTTACGCTGCATCCCTCTGACGCCTCTCCTTCCTTCTTCCACTCTTGAGGACCCTTGTGATTACATAGGTCCCATCCAGATAATCCAGAATAATCTCCCTATTTTAATGTCAGCTGATCAGCAACCTTAATTCCATCTACTACCTTAATTTCCCTTTGCCATTAACCTAACACATTCACAGGTTCTGAGGATTAGGATGTGGACATCTTTGGGCGGGGGCACTGTTCTGCCTGCCGTAATTCAGAAATCACGTGTAGTTCATCCTCCCTATTCCCTCTGCTCTTCCTCAGTCTCAGCCCGAGGCCAGAGTCACTCACAAAATCCAGCCCTAAGAGCCTCCACAGATGTAGGAGAAAGTCTAGCCTGCCCCACTTCTGAAGACCTCATTTAGCACCTCTTTCTTACCCTACAGCTCCTCTGCATAGAGAAATACCCTCCTACGGAGAGTGGCTCTGACAGCTTTAGGTCTTCACGGGATTTCTATGACCATCTGGAAACCTGTCACTTCTCCTCCTCTGTGTACCCACAAGTCCAGCGGCACATTCTAATCACGCTTGGGATTGTCATCCCTAATGATTACCACTGCATCTCCCACAAATGTCTCCACGTTGGGGCGCATGGGGACTTCTCTGGGCTCCCAGAGCTGGCCAGACATCCTTCTTCACTGTGGGCTGTATAGTTCAGGCATCATCTCAGCAGAAGCAGGGCGAAGGTCCTGGATCAGGACAAGTCCTTCATTCCCGACTTCTCCTAGGAAAGACCCAATTTCTAAAAATACTGGGCCTTGGGTGGGTGGAGTGCTGGCTTTATTTTCTTGTGGGAGATTTTAAGACTTGCTCAGTCTAGTGCAGTCACATAAGGCTTAACTCAGTGGCTCCCTTCCTTCTTGTCTCTTGCAACATATTTAGCTTTGGGTAAATTCTATTTCGTCTATAAAATGTCTCCCCTTCCTAGAGGGAGGAAGACAGAGCTTCAGTGAGATAGTGGATGAGAATGTGCAAATTGTAGTGTTTTCCTCTTACGTGAGGCTCCATTTCTTGTCCCTCCCACCCCAGAGCCTGTGCCCCTTCCCCAGATCCTGGCCAAGTCAGTGTCCACCACAGGAGGTTGGTGCAACATCACCCTAGAGTGCAGGGCTTCAGGGGTCACGGACGACCTGAATGTGACCTGGGAAAGCAAGGACCTCCCAAGGGAGCTGGAACCAGCCCGCAACTCCTGGACCCTGGCTGTGAGCCTGCCTCTGAGCCCGCCCAATGCCAGCCTCAGCTGTGTGGTCAGCAACTCGGAGGACCAGAAAACTATCACCACATTCCTTGGGGAATTCTGTGACTATGGTGAGTACAACCTGCTGGAGGGGAGGGGCACTGTCGGAGCTCAGGGAGCTCTGGGGTCTGAGGATTCTGGGCTTTTCTCCCCACCATGTTTATCAGCACCACCCCCACCTGGTCACCCCCTACAGGAGTCTGGGGGGCACATCCAACTTGTTTCTTCTCTTAAATGACTCTCACGTCTGTGCCTCTCACCTCTTGCCCCTATTGGTGGGCAGCAGCTGTCTAGCACCTCTCCCACCGCACCCTTACTCCACAGGGAATGCAGAGTGGTCTTTGGGAAAGAACCTGGATTGTGTCACTTGTCTGTGTCGCCTGAAGGGTTTGACCTCCAGGGACTCCCTGTAGGATTCAGGGCTCTGACGCTCCTCTGCCCATGTTTTGGCCTCACTGACACACTCACACTGACCTGCTTGCTTGGAGTCCCGAACGCCTTCGGCAAAGTTAGAGCCTCTGGATGTGCTGTTTCCTCTACCATCATTCCTCCTACCTTTTCCTTCATTTCTTGCCTTATTCGTTTTTTTTTTCCTTTTTTTTGAGGAAGTTCAGCCCTGAGCTAACCATTGCCAATCCTCCTCTTTTTTCCAAGGAAGACTGGCCCTGAGCTAACATCCATGCCCATCTTCCTCCACTTTTTTATATGTGGGACGCCTACCACAGCATGGCTTTTTGCCAAGCAGTGTCATGTCTGCACCCAGGATCCGAACTGGTGAACCCTGGTCTGCTGAGAAGCGGAACGTGTGAACTTAACCGCTGAGCCACTGGGCCAATCCCTGTTGCCTTATTGCTATTGAAGGATTTCCCTCAGGCACGGCTGAGTTCAGTAGCATGTGTGCCATGTTGTCACACAGAGCTGTGTGCTGGGTTTAAAGCTCTGCGGTGGCCATCTTGAAATTTCTGACAGTCTTTGAACACAGGGCTCCTCATTCTCATTTTGCCCAGGGCCTTGCAGTGCCTGTAGCCATCCTGCCCTCAGGCTCACCTTTAAGGAGGGTCTCTGGACCCCCACTGAGCTGCAATGCTCTGTCTTGTACCTGTCTCCTCCGTAGCCTGGAGCACCTTGAAGGCAGGGGCCTGTCTTCTCCCCTGAATCCCTGTGCCATGCACAGCTTCTGGCACAGTTTGTTCAGGATCTTCCGTTGAATGAATGGATGACCTGGTACCCCTGAGTGCAGCCTTGCCCCTCTAACCTACCCTCCATGAGCTGCTGGAGGGATCTGATGTGTCAGCATCACAGAAACCCCCTTTGACCCTCCCCTCACCCCCGTGTAGGGCCCTCAGATAAAGTTCAACACTCAGCGTCACCCACTAGATCCTCTGAGAGCAGACCCTTGCTTCCCTCTGAACTTGCTTGCCTAGCTCCTTCCTGCCCTGTCCTCTCCTGCCTGTCCCAGTGGGGTGCTGGGGACTCCCAGGGGCTGGCTTTTTGACATATCATATCCTGAACGTGATGCTCCTCCTTCCTGGAATGCTGAATATCTGGTAAACTCCTATTCCTCCCTCAAGACTCAGGTGACCCATCACCTCCTCTGGGAAGCCTTCCCTGAAGACCTGTGTACAAGGTGTAAACCTCTATTGCACTGCAATCCCTCTGGCTGGCAGACTTTGTTATTCTCTCAGTCTTCCCTGCTGGGTGATGAGCTCCAAGGGCGTGGACCAAGTCTTGTCCATCTCAATATCCCAGGCAGCAAGCAGGAGCTCGGGAACTGGTTGAATGAATGAATCTCCATGCTCCTGCCTCTTTGCCTTCTGATCCAGGACCCTCAGACTTCTCTACCTGCTCTCTCTATCTCTCCTTAGCATTGGGTATCTAAGTTCTCTTGTGCCTTAACCTTCTTCATTCTTTCTGCTTGAGGGGAACAGATTCACAGGGACAGGCCTCAACAGGCACCCTCAAAGCCATCCTAGGGCCCATCGTGGCTGTGCCATTGATCCTCGGTGTTGGACTGTACCTTTGGAAGACACATGAGAAGAAGAAGAAGATGGAGATTGGAAGAGGCAGGTTAACTTCTTTCTGGCCCACATACCTCTCCTGCCCCACTTGACCCCTGGCTCCCTTCCTCCTGCATTTTGCTGCTCAGGGAATGCCCTTGAGCTTCATAGCAGTGGGGGAGGGTACAGGTTTCCAAGGCCCAGATTCCAGCTCCAATCTATGTGTGATTCAGGTGCAGGACTGCAGGAGGAACACAGGAACCACGATGATGACATCCAGTATGCAGAGCTGAGCCTGCAGGAGTCTCGAGGGGGCAGGGACAAGGTGAGAGCTGGAAGCAGTGCCCACTTGGGCTTTCCCACCCTCTGTGGCTGAGTCTGAGCATTTCCGGCCCTTCTGTCTCTAACTCCTTCCTGATAGCCAATGGTATGTACTAAGAAAATTTACAACTGGGGCCAGTGTAGCGCTGGGCACTCTGAGGGAATTCCCATGTAGCTCATGTCAGCAGCATTGGTTCCATGTGGGTCCCTCTGGGACCTCTCTATCCCTCAGCTGTTCTCTGAATCTTCTGTCTTGCATTCCTAGGGTATGAGGGAACGTATGAGGGAACGACGTCTGCAAGAAAAGGAAGATCTCACTGCTGTCTACAGTGAGGTTCAGAAGCCAGGCCAGGCCAGGCCATGAAGATAAAGAGAAAACAGGAGAATCAGCATTCCTAGGACACCTCCACACTGAGCTTGATCCCTGCAGACACCTGCCTCTTCCAGCTCTGGTCCAGCTCCAGCTGCTTCTGGTCCACATTGCTCTGACCCTCATGTCTTCAACTCCCTAGGCACATGTAGCCCTGTCATGTCCTCTGACACCTCCCTAAGCTGCCCTCCCACTCATGAGCCTCACTCCTGCAGGACAAGTGCTCTTTCCCTGTCATTGACTTGGCTCCTGACCCCTCTCCTCCTGAAGATTCCCCAAAGGAGACCCTCCTGATTGTGCTTGTGTTAATCCCCACAACCTCTGCTGTGTGTCTTTTTGAGAACATGAGCACAAGTTTGGGGACTGTGTAGATGTGTTGACCATGCCACAAAGGAGGCAGTGAGGCCCTTGGTGCTGGATGCTGAGTTCGGGATTAATGGAAGCAGCACGGGTGGGTGGGAGCCCACAAAGGGACTGGCCTGAGGCTTCCTTTGCACCTTGTGGAGGGCTCCCTTGGGGGTGTTGGGCAGTGTGTGTGTGTGTGTGTGTGTGTGTGTTGAGGGGAGTGTCTAGTGTTCGTTACATACTGGCCAGAGCCCTTGTTCTTGGCCACATGTGCTAACCTGGACCTTGGCCTCAGTGTCAGCCCATGGGTCCCAAACCCACTGTCTTATGGAGTGAGAAGAGGAAGTGGTACTGTTTCAGGCCCTTTCAATTCTTCTGTTTGTCAGAAAATCGCTCCAGAGGCCCAAAGTTGGGAATTGCCCTCTTAGGAAAACAGCTTCATCTCTTCTCCTACCTTGGATAGGGGCACTGGGTGCTTGGAATGGATGTGCAGTGACCTCCCACCCTCCTTGGTGGGGCTGTTGTGGGGTGTGAAGCTTGTGGGACCAGCCGTCTCCAGACTCTTCTGCTGACCCTCAGCTGCCCACAACCATGCTGGCCTCAGTGCCTAGGTCAGCCCCTCTTTGCTCATTCATATCCCTCTGTCTAGAATGACAGTTCCCTCTCCCCGTTCCTTGCTCCCATCCCTGCCTGTTGAAATACTACCATCCTCCCTGAAGCCTCCTTCCAAGTCACGTGTTGCATGGATCCTGTCCTGTCCCAAAGGTTTGGAAATGGTCTCTCCCATGTCTGACATTTTCAAATGCTTTGGATGTAACTAAGGCCACTGCCACAGTCTGTCCTGGATTAGTCATGAGTCTTCTCTGCTGGACTAACCTGGGGCTCCCTCAGGAGGGTGTTGGGGCTGTAGGAGGCCAGGACCAAGAAGACAAGTACCCGTCTCTGTGAAGGGTCTGGGCCGATTCCTCCCACGGGAGCTCAGCAGACTGAGACCAAGAGCACAGAGGCTGCTGCAGGTCTTTCTGGTGCTGGGTCCACGTGGAAGCAAGGATGGACATGATGACCTCCCATGACCCTGCTGATGACCTCTCATGACTCTCCCTGGCCCAGAAATCTGAAGTCGGGTCTTCCTCACCCCACCTGCAGCCTCACATTGCCTGAGGACCTGATGCAGCCTGCACTGTGGTGTGTGGGAGCTTCTCTCCTCCATGGGGGTACTCACCTCCTCAAAGCTTCTGCCTCCTTCCATGGATCCAAGATTTTGGGTCAGAGATAGACTTACTGGTACTATGAAATCTGGTATCTCATCTCCCGGCCTAGACTCCTGGGTCTCTTGGTTCCCCTCCCAGTCAGCTCAGCTCAGCTGCTTCATCCCTGACCTCAAAGCAAGTTCTGAGCTACAGGCTTGAGCATTATGAAGCAATGCTAGGAGCCTGCTGGATGGGGCATGGATAAGGGAAGAGTATGGGGATCCATAATAAGGCTGTTTCTGACCTCTTTTCCCTCAGGCTGAGCAGGAAGCTGAGAGAGAAAAAGATGTCATCTCCTCACTGGCATCCCAGGTGACTGGTTATGGCTAGGCGTCAATTTCCATCAGCCCAGGAGCAGTGACCCCCGCATTGACTTTTCCAATCACACTAAAGCAAGGAATTAAAAAAAAAAAAAAGAAGGGAGCAGGGCTTTCAAAGCCTGTAATGAACCAGATTTTGTCCTTTGTTGTTAGTGCCACTGAGCCAATTCTGACTCCTAGAGGCCTCATGTGCGGCAGAGTGGATCTCTGCCTGGTCTTTTTTACACCATCCTCTCATCTTGTGGTGCTGTATCAGGCAATGCTCCACTGCTCTTCATCGGATTTTCACGGCCATTTTCTTTGTGAGTGGGTGGGCAGGTCCTTCTTCCTAGTCTGTGTTAGTCTGGAAGACCCACTGAAACTTGCTCACCATGGGTGACCTTGCTGCAATTTGAAATACTAATGGCCTAGCTTTCAGCATCACGGCAACATGCACCTGCCACAATATGACAGCCGACAGATAGGTGGTGTGGTTGCCTGACTGGAAAACAAACCTGAGCTGTGGTAGTGAGAGTGCCGAATCTTAACCACTAGACCACCAGGGCTGACATTTTTGTCACAGGAATTTTACAAATATTATTTCTTCTAATTCTTTCAAGAACTCTCTAGGGTAGGTATTATTATACCCATTTTTCAGGACACATAACTAATGTCCCAAACTGGTTGATAGCAGAGCAAAGCCTTAAATCCAACACTGGATGATTCCAGCATTCACATCTTACCCTTTACCATATGGTCACTGAAGAACATGGAATCCTGGAATATTCCAATGGGAATATCCTTTATTTGTTCCTCTCCCAAGGACCCTGGTCTTCTAACTCAGGTGCCCCAACTTGGGCACCAGCTCATCCTGGTGATGGATGGAGCAGGTGGTGGTTGAAAGAGAAGGTGTCACTTAAGTGGACAGTGGGGCCTTGGTGGGCAGGAGACATGGAATGTGCGAACTTGCACTCTGGTGCTGATGAGGTGAAGAGATGCTTCTCTCTCTTGAGTCTTTTGAGAGTTTTTTTGTGCATTTTAGCATCCCCATCTTCAGACCAGCTACCTTTAGCATTATTATTCATGACTCCATTCAACAGGTTTTAAATAAATTTCTCATTTAGACCTTCAACAATTCTATGAGGCAGAAATCCCCATTGTACAGATGGAACAATAAAATGCAGAGACGTTAAGTACCTCTCACATGTTCTCCGGATGGTAAGTGATGTAGGCATGATTTGGTTCCACAGGGGATCATTTCACTCATTTTGCCTTCTTCTCCCTCATCCCAGACATCCAACCAGTTCCTGTCTTCCATTGGGTTATCCTTCATAATGCTTCTTGTATTCCATCCTCCTCTCATTCTTTTATTCCTATCTTCCACTTGCAGCTGCACCCTTTTATGTTTGAGCCAACAATCTATGAGGATTTCTCCACATCCTCTCCAACTCTTAATATTTTTTGATTGTAGCTATCCTAATGTGGGTGAAGTTGTATTTCATTGTGGTTATGAGTTGTATTTCTTTATTAATGATGTTGAACATCTTTTCCTGTGCGTATTGACCATTTGTATACTTATTTGAAGAAATCTCTTCTTCAAATTCTCTCTTTTCATGCATGACCCCACCACTCCATTGAATCTGCTCTTGTCCAGGTTATCGGGAAACTCCAGGTTGTTGAATCCAGTGGTAGATTCTCAATCTTCATCTCCTGTGACCTCTCAGCAGCAATGGACCTATACTTCCTTGAAACACTGTCTTCACCTTGCGTTCCCCACTCGTCATTGTTTCCTCCTCCTCAGTAGTTGCCCCTTAGTTTCCTTTATCAATTTCTTTTCAATCTCTCCAACCTCTAAGTCTTGAAATTCCCAGGGTTCATACCCAGACCACCTCTCTTCACTAGCTGCACTCGTTCTCTATGATGTTATGGCCACGCGCTAATCCTCAGAACCTGTGACTTTATGATCTTATGTGGCAAAAGGGACTCACAGATGTGATCCCTCCCCTGGACTCCACATTATAAATTTCCAACTGTTTACTGGCCATCTCTACTCGCATGTATAACAGGTGTCTCCAGCTTCACATGTCTAAATTCAGACTCCCCAAACATGCTGCCCATACAATTTCCCATCCCAAAAATGTCACCTCAATCCTTCCATTTTTTCTGGCTGCAAAGCATTGGTGTCGTCCTTGACTTCACTCTTTTTCTCATACCCTACACTCTATCAGCAAATACTGGTATCTTTTCATTCAACATATATATTTAAATGTTTTCATATATATATATATTCATAACCTCGTACTACCTCCCTGGTCCACTAGAACCATCATTTCTCAACTGGATTATTGCAGTAGCTTCAGTCTCCCAACTTTTGTCTTAACTCTTTAATGTTTGTTTTCAAAAAGTCACCCAGAGTGATGTTTTCAAAACCTAAGTTGTGTCACATTACTCCTTAGTTCAGAACTTCCCGTGGATCCCCTTTCTCTGCAAGACCCTGTACCATCTGACCTGATCTCTCTTGCTCCCCTCCTCCTTAATTCACTCTAGGACACTGGGCTTTTTGTCCTTCCTTCAATGCAGCATGCATGCTCCTGCCTCAGGGCCTTTGCTCTGCCTAGAATTCTCTTGCCCCAGCTGTCTGCCTGTCTCATTTCCTGACCTCCTTCAGGTCTTTGTACAAACGTTATCTTCTCTGTAGGGTCTCCCCTGACCTCCCTATTTAAAGCTGCAAACTCCTCCAGGCGCCATCCTCCCTCCTCCAAGCTCTACTTTTCCTCATTGTTCTTCAAAAGGCTGTGAGGCAGGGGGTGTTTAATTTGGGCTGTAGTTTAAAGACCTTGGGAAGTGAGACTTCAAAGTGTAAACTGCAAATCCTATTATGCAAATCCCATTATTCTTCCCAGGAAACTGCAACACTGATACATTAATGAACTTGCTCCAGGTCACATAACTAGGAAGTGGCAGAGCTGGTATTAAATTTTGGAGTTGGATTCTAAAGCCCCCGATCTTGACAGCTGTACACTTGTTAAATAAGGTGTAGTCTGTCCGCATGGTGGAGTACTATAGATGTAATAAGAAGGATAAATTGCATCTTTATATATATATATTTTTTGAGGAAGATTAGCCCTGACCTAACTGCTGCCAATCCTGCTCTTTTTGCTGAGGAAGCCTGGCCCTGAGCTTACATCCGTGCCCCTCTTCCCCTACTTTATACGTGGGACGCCTGCCACAGCATGGCTTGCCAAGCAGTGCCATGTCCGCACCCCGGATCCGAACCGTTGAACCCTAGGCCGCTGAAGCTGAACGTGCACACTTAAGCGTCTTTATATATTTAAGTGGGAAATTGCCCCTGGAATATTAAAAGATTTATGGGACAGTGTGTATAGTATTATCCTGTATTATAAATATATACAAACGTATGTTTATGTTGGCATAAAGGAAGTCTAAAACTGATATGTCAAGAAGTTAACAGTAGTTATATTGTGGAACTTGTCTCTTGTCCTGTATCATCAGATTCTCTATAGCACTTATCAGAAAAAGATGATTTATTAATGTTTTTGAGCAGGGCAGTGACATGAGCAGAGCTGTGTTTCAGACAGATAATGCCACCTATATGCCAACAGGAAGCTTATCATGTTAGAAAGTCGTTAAAGTATTTATGCTCATTTTCACTTTCTTTTGTGTTGAATTGATGCCTTCAGAATCTTTACTGAAATAACCTCAGATGTCTATGGATCTGTCTACACAGTACAGGCAAAGTGAAAATTTTGGTCTAATTGATTCAAATGGGCACTCCCCCTGACCCAGCTCACAACCCTGGCTGTTCATCAGGTCAACTGGAGAGATTTTAAGAACAGAAACTTGGACCCTATCCCCAAACTGGGGATCATCTGCATTTTAAAAAACCCAATAGTTGATTCAGATGTATGATCTGGGTTGAGAACTCAAACCTTTGGTCTACACGGAGGCTTTATTAAATTCAAATGGGAATGTTCATGGCAAGGAGACTGAAAGTTTGTCTTCCAAGAGGGTTCTCGGTGTGTGCTCAGCATGAAGTGCAGGAAATGTTGGTTGAGCAAAAGAGTGAGTGAAAGATGAGACCCCACAGGTTGCAACTACCATGATTTGCTAACCTAGGTTCAGATTCTGACACGCAGACCCTGAGCCTGAGCCCAGAAGCCCCATTTCATCCCTTGAAACTGTGTGATTTGCTTTGGAGATGCAAAATCTTGCCATCAAATGTCGAAAGACACTGATAGACAAAACCAGAATGCTGACTTATTAATCTGTAGTCAGTGGCACACTTGCTAACTGGGTTGGATGGTCCTGTTAGCCTGAGCGGTGTGTCCTCTGCCAAAGACAGGCCGCAGGGGAAACTACGTTGTCACTGGGCTGCGTGGGGAGCCCTGAGTCAGGACAGGTGAGTAGACGCTGCTGGTGTGGATGCCAATGGCTTTCTAGTCTGAGCTCTTCATCTCCATGGTGGGACGTACCTGCCTGGAGCATGGGATTCTCCTGCCCGCGTGACAGAACTGCATTTGTCTCTGTTGCTCACCTGTCTTTACGCTCCATTTCTTATTAACCCTCTCTGGATTGACATATTTTCTTTGATCACGTTCATTTGTGAGATTAAGCCTTGCCTTTGTTTCTGATCTTGAATCTCTGTACCTCTCCTATATGTGATCCAGATACGTGATGTTTCATTTAATCTCCAAGGCCCCCTACCTCCAAAAACCCCCCCAAAACCCACCCACATATATTTATCTCATTTCCCAGCTGTAGTGGAGGGAGTAGAGGGAGAGGACAGCTCCACAGCACACCGCAGACCATCAGCTGAACCACCAAACCACTTTAGCAAACAGACTCAGAAAGAAAAGCCGTGAACTGAGCAATGGGATTCCGTAGCTCTCAGGGCCGGAATCTTCACCTGATTTATCACAAGCCTTTAGGTGAGATCCTCTCATATTTACAATATCAGAACCACAATAACAACTAGATAAAGCTCTGAGAGAATGTAATAAAATTAATATCTATTCCACTTAAAAATCTTCATGAAATGGACATTTT